AAACTTTGAACCTGTTGCTCTTAAGGCCTCTGTTTCTTCTGCCACAATCACTAAGTTTCCTTTATATTCTTTAGAACTGGGAACTAAACGAACTAAGCCAGACTGCTAGGTATCTATCCGTTAAACTTCCACATACCCTTTCCTCAGTTCCCATTACATCTTTATCCTGCTACACAGGCAAGAGCACTTTGTATAGCACTAAGTGCCTTGTAAATTTTACTTGTATGGAGGAATTACATTCCAAGTTGTTTGCCTGTGTCATGAAATTTTCCACACCTTTCTAAACTTTGGCGGGGGGTATTTTTGAGGCAGGGTCTCCCTGTAGCCCCAGCTGGCCAGGAACTATGTAGACCAAGCTAGCCTCAAACTCAGAGATCCGCCTGCCTCTGCACCACCACACCTGGCCTTTCTAGATTTTTTTTGGTACTCCATTCTGAGACATGGGTTGTTTTTTTCCTCCTGTGCTAGATCTAACCCAAGGATTCATGTACACTAAGTGCTCTATCATTAAACTACATCCCCAGTCCAGAAGTGCCCTAATGCCAGGTGTGTTGGTGCACTTTAATCCCAGTACTGGGGAGGCAGAGGCAGGGATCTCTGTTAAGACTGAGGCCAGTCCAGTCTACAAAGGGAATTCTCAGCCAGCTGGGACTACAGGGAGATCCTATCTAAAAATACAAAACAATTAGTGCTCCAGACCCATCTGAGGTCTGCCCAGCTGGACCATCATTCTCAGTTTACACATGCTATCTTTAGCTTCCAGGACTTTCCACAATGTTGACCCCAGTACCCCACTCTAGAGTTGTGTCCTGAGTCCTAGAATCCATAATAGTATTGATTTTCATTATCCAAAATCTCCCTTTAGGGCCATGCCCCTTTAGGAAGCTCAGAATTCAAATCTAGAGATCTGTGCTACTGTTTTTATGATACAGCGTGATATGCTACTAGCCCTATCACATCCTCTTATTTTGTGATTCCTGATGCCTGATGAGTACATAGCACAGTACACCAGATTAAGTTTGCTAGTTACCCAAGGAAAAGGCAAGACATGAATGAGTGACCATGAAGACAAATAATTTTTAAAATGTGATCCAGAGCCAGGCATGGTGGCACATGCCTTTAATCCCAGCACTCAGGAGGCAGAGACAGGCGGATCTCTGTGAGTTCAAGGCCAGCCTGGTCTCCATAGTGAGTGTGGCTACAGGGAGACCCTCTCTCAAAAAGACCACAAATAAATGTGATTCAGAGCCAAGCCCAGTAGCACCCTCTAATCCCAATCCCAGAGAGGTAACAGGATGGTCATTATGAATGTGAGGTCTGAGACCTTGTATCAAAACAAAAAAAAAATCAGATCCCAAACTCGACTTGATAGTAATCAACACAAGTACTTGAGTTCTCTGTGGAAACTCCCATGTCTCTGACTTAAATCTCTCTCCTGCCATAGGCCTGGGCTCTAACATCTTCCGCCTGCTGGACAGCCTGCGGGCCCTGTCAGGCCAGGCTGGATGCCGCCTCCGTGCCCTGCATCTCAGCGACCTGTTCTCACCACTGCCCATCCTGGAGCTGACACGTGCCATTGTGCGAGCCCTGCCTCTGCTACGGGTCCTCTCTATTCGTGTTGACCACCCAAGCCAGAGAGACAACCCTGCTGTACCAGAGAATGCTGGGCCCCCTAGCCACATAATTGGGGATGAGGAAATACCAGGTGAAACATATGCACATATATGTATCTCCACATATGTAGTACATTTGTGGGGGGAGGAGCTCGCACTATATGTCTACTTACTACTGGTTTCATCTGTCATATTTCCTTTTTATAGGTTGCCATTCTTTAAAGTAACCTTAGGTTGAGTAAAGGCCAGACTACCATAAACCCCACAGTGGCCATGGCAGCTTAAGCTTCAGAAAGGTCTGAACCAGTACCAGAACTTTGACACTAGATTAAGTCATCCTGCTGTATGTTCCTAGTTCCTGTGTCTCCTCTCCTAGCACTGTGTGTGCTTTGTGTGTATGCATATATATGTGCTGGTGCCAACTACCCATGGATGTGTACAGTACCTTTTGGGAGTTGGTTTTCTTCTTCCACAGTGGGATCCAGAGATTAAACTCAGGTTTGTGCAGCAAGCACTTCTACCTTCTGGGCCATCTTGCAGGCCCAAAGGTTGGACATTGAACTTAGGGCCCCATATATGCTAGGCAAGCACCTTATTTTTTGAACTGAGCTCACCATTTTGAATAGACTAGCTGGACAGCAAGCTCCTGGGATCTGCCAGTCTCAACCCTTCTAATTCTGAGAATTTCAGAAAGGGGCCACCACCACATAAAGGGCTTTACACAGCAAGCCCTTTACCTACATAGCCACCTCCCCAGCCCCTGCATATCACTTGCTTGTCTTAGCACTATGAAGGATAAGATCTTATATTTAATAGTCAATTTCTAGAACTTAGTATTACCTTATACATAGCAGGCACTCAAGGATAATCATTTTATTAGCGATCTCTCAGAAGACAGGATAGGACCTGCTATAGAAATAGAGGACTGGCAAGATGCCTCAGCATATAAAGGCACTTAACCTGAAAACCAGTTTAGAACCCACATGGTACAAGAAGAAAACTGACTCCTGCAAGTTGTCCTCTAACCTCCACACATGCAGTGGCACACACATGCCCACACAAAGTATCTCTTTTTTTAAAAAAAAAAATTGAAGTAGAGATGGCCAGCTGGCATTTTTCTCCCCTATCATTTACAGAAAACTGCCTGGAGCAGTTGGAGATGGGATTTCCAAGAGGAGCCCAGCCAGCCCCACTGCTCTGCTCTGTTCTGAAGGCCTCAGGTTCTCTACAGCAACTGTCACTGGATAGTGCCACCTTTGCCTCACCCCAGGATTTTGGGCTTGTGTTGCAGACACTCAAAGGTAGGCATGGTAAGGGAGGGCAGGTGGATATCTAGCATTGTTCTCTGGGAGAGCTAAAGCCCACTGCCCATGGCTTCTGCCTCCTATCCAGAATTCAACTTATCCCTGAAGAGGCTGAGCTTTCATGATATGAATCTTGCAGACTGTCAGAGTGAGGTGCTCTTTTTGCTACAGAATCTGACTCTTCAAGGTAAGATCCTAATCCTGAACATTCCTGGGTCCTTGTCACTCTGCCACTATCCCAGTGAGCATATATATATTATATATTTATTATATATAATATATATTATATATTTGGATCTGATGCTTTATTACTATTATTTGAGATTAGCAAACAGAATTAACACAACATTGAGCAACTCCAGATTAGCATTCCTTACATTGATGAAAAGCAACTGATTTAGGCACTGATTTAGACTCCTGACAACTAAAAAGGATATAGAACCTGCATGACCTTCCAAATTCAACTCTACAAACATGGAAAGTTCATCTTCTTAGTACCTCACCCAAGTTTTTCATACTTTTCTGGGATTGGCAGAAGTCATGGTGGTGTCCTGGGTTTAATCCCCAGCAAACACACACACACACACACACACACACGAGAGGTAGAGGGAGCAATCAATGTGCTGCAGTGGTCACACACACACACACACACACACACACACACGCGCGAGAGGTAGAGGGAGCAATCAATGTGCTGCAGTGGCATTCTTCCCTCAGATACTTACCACTAATCTCCACCCTGCAAAGAGATCAGTGGATAGGAAGAGGAAGTGGAGAATTCTCCATGCAGAGAACCTCCTCCCAGAAAACATTTACATTTGATTTAGTTCCAACATGACTTGAAACCTTAAACAGGCTCTTTCCAGGCCTGTAAAGCATTTACATTATCATGCTGGGACCACTTGGGGTAGGAGGGGCAGCAGCAGCCCTACTCCGGCCATCAGAATTTATTTTCTCTTGACAGAGATTACCTTCTCCTTCTGCCGTCTGTTTGAGAAGCGCCCAGCCCAATTTCTACCTGAGATGGTTGCTGCTATGAAGGGCAACTCCACACTGAAGGGCCTTCGACTGCCAGGGAACCGCCTGGGTAGGGACCAGACTCTGGGGAAGGAGGGAGGGAAGAGACAGGCCTTTGACCTAGAAACCTGTAAGGTAAAGGCACTAAGGCTGTGACTACCATTTAAGTGTTCATGTGCTGGGTCTTCAGAATTAGGACTGGGGTTCTCCCTAGCCAGAGCTGGGGTAGGATACCCTTTGTTTCCTGTTCTTGGTGTGGAGGTAATGGGAATTTTCCCCCTTTTCTCCAGGTAATGCAGGGCTGTTGGCCCTGGCAGATGTTTTCTCAGAGGATTCTTCCTCTTCTCTCTGTCAGCTGGACATCAGGTACAGTAGGAGTAGGGGAGACAAGGGATGAACTATAGGGATATAGACTAGTTGCTTCCTGAATATCTAATCTATCTCACCCCTATCAGTTCCAACTGTATCAAGCCAGATGGGCTTCTGGAGTTTGCCAAGCGGCTGGAGCGCTGGGGCCGTGGAGCCTTTGGTCACCTGCGCCTCTTCCAGAACTGGCTGGACCAGGATGCAGTCACAGCCAGAGAAGCAATCCGGAGGCTCCGGGCAACCTGCCATGTGGTTAGCGACTCATGGGACTCATCCCAGGCCTTTGCAGATTATGTCAGCACCATGTGATGGAGCCCGTACCTCATAGGCCCATGCTCAGTACCATCAGCTTGCAGGGGCTGAGGCATGGGCTGCCCAGAATCCCCAACCACTCATTCTTTCTCTGACACCTTGTCTCTTTTTTTCATCTTCCCTTACACTGAGGTCCTGGAGGCCTTGATGAGGTCCAGCAAAGGCATTCCCACAGCTGAGTGTAGAGGTTTCGGGCTGTTTACTCAGTATCCTGGGAACTCTGGGCCAGGAGGTTGCAGTGGTCATTACCTTCACCAAGAATTTCCTATTTCTGCCCTGGGGTGCCCACTTCCCTCTTCAAGCAGGTAACCAGGCTTTAGAGAAGCATAGGAATGCCACCACCAGGTCTCTTCCCTCTTGGGCTTACCAATCTGTTCCCAGGCCTCAGTTCCTTTCATACCTTTATTCTTTTCTTTTTTTTTTTAAACCAAAAAGTTTTTCTTATAAAATAAACTTGGGGCAAACATCACACAGCCCTTCTTGATGATTTTCTCCCAGAGAACAAAATTCAGCAGAGCTTTGTGGGGCAGAGAACTCCCTTTTCCTGTATCCTTCCTCTAACAGCTATACCCAGACCAGCTGGTTATCAGTGGAGACCCTGCTGCTCCTCATGCGAACGCTGGTGGAAGACAAAGGTGATGGCAGTAGAGGAAGCATCCCATGCAGCCTGGAGTACTTCATCTTGGAGGCCCCGCTTATCAGTGCTATGGTTCCACTGAGCCAGGTCTGAAGTGCAGTCAGAACCATTGGGGGGTGGCCAAACCTGGCGGCTGTTTACACAACGGCGGCAATGCAGCCTGAGGTCAGAAGACAAAGTTATGGTCACTACCCATCTCATTTCTGTGCTGTGCAGGTTAACTAGGAGATAAAGACAAGGGCCCTGCACTCACCTGTCATGGGTATCACTGAGGCCGGCTTCATCCAGGGTAAACAGCTCCTTCAGCTCACCAAGAGAGAAGTGCCGCTCTACATCCTGCTCCTCATCAACCACACAGCTGCTCAGTGCTTTCTTGTGGCTCTGCCGCTGAAAGATCTTCTCTTCAATCGTTCCTGTCTAGGGGTTGGGATATAGAGCTCAGCCATCCCTAGATAGGGAGCAGGGACAACTGAGGTTTGAAACTATATTTTTTTCAAGAAAGGGTGATGAATCGTAAGCTGATACATCTGTCTCACCTAAGGTCCATTTTCCCAGTTCATCTCCTAAAGTCAAGATTTATGCATGTTTGCCCATCCAGGCTATTTATTGACCCGTGGAGGATGTCTGGGCCTAGCTAAATGTATTTAGGGTAAACTGAGGTTATCTGCAGCAAAGATGTCTCCACACCAAGCCTAGCTCTCATTTATTCATTAATCATCATTTAAGTAGTCTGCATCAGGTCCTATGCTAATATTAGGACACAAGGAAGACTCAAATATGATCCCTATCCTTGAGGTCACAGAACACTGACTTATAAAATTCATACAGTTAACAGAAATCTGTACTCATGGTACCACAAAAGGAATAGTAAAGAAGAGTTCTGAAAATTTTTAAAAGGTTATCTGAGCTAACAAAAAAATGAAGAGATAGTTTGCAGAAGAGCAAAGTAAAGGCATGCCAAACAAAGTAGCAAAAGAATAAACTAGGCCTAGTGGAGGACTGAACTGTTCAGTCCCAACAGTCAGGAGGTGCAGACAAGAGGATCAGGAATCAAAGGCCCACCTTTAAAAGTAAAACCAGGTAAAATCAAAAATAAATGGCAGGAATCTGATGATTTTTGAGACAGTAGTTTAGTAGCATGGTTTCTAAGATTGAGATAATGAAACCACTGAATGACAGAAAAAAAAAATCTTAGTTATAAAGTCCTTATCAGAAATCCAAGTGGAAGGCTGGGTTATAACGAGCATGTACAAGGCCTTAGATGCCATCCCCACCAAAAAAAAGGAAATTCAGATTTCCTATTTGGGCATGGTGGTATGTGCCTATAATCCCAGCACTTGAGAGCTTTATAAAGAGGATCAAGACATCAAGGTCACTCTTGGCTAAATGGCTAGTTCAAGGCAGCCTCAGCTATATGGGATCTTTTCTCCTACTCCCACCCTCTCAACAAAAAAGAGGTGTTTGAGAATAAAGCAAGAGGGCTGGAAGGACAGCTTAATGGTTAAGAGCACCTGCTGTTCTTGCAGAGGATCAATTTTATTCCCAAAACTTCCATGGGGCAGTCCACAACTACCTGTAACTCCAGCTCCAGGGGATCCAATGCCCTCCTCTGGGCCTCTATAGGCACCACGCACATATGCACATATCTATACATATCTACATAATTTGAAATAAATCTTTAAAAAATACACAGAGCTGGGCATGGTAACACATGCCTTTAATCTCAGCACTTGGGAGGCAGAGACAGATCTCTGAGATGGAGACCAGCCTGGTCTACATAGTGAATCCCAGGCCAGCTGGGGCTACAGGGAGACCGTGTCTCAAAAAGAGTAAATAAGTAACAAAATAAAAAAGAACAAGACAAGGTTAGGTAGGAAATTCAAGGGAATACATCCAAGTCTCAAAGACAGCCTCTTCAAAATAGGATTATTGAAAGTAGCTATTGAAGGAAATAAGGCCCAGCTCCCAAAAGAACATGAATTTATGGTAACCAATCTGTAAATGCAAAATGATGTAGAAGATGAGGATACTTGAAATGATCCAAGTGGAATGGGGTCAAGCCAAGAGCTGGGGAGATGGCACTTACTGTCAACCAGAAGACTTGAGTTTGATCCCTGGAACCCAGAGGGCAGAAGAGAACTAACTCCCAGAAGTTGTCGTCTGATCCTCACACGTGTTATGGCACACATGCATGCCACCCATCCCAATAAATGTAAAGAAAATAAACATAAACAAAGGAAGCCAAACCAGAATGGGCAAGAGGGGAGAGGAGTGTTTCCCAACATTAGGTCAAAGTAAACGTACTAAATATAAACATACTAAATATAAACATACGAAATATAAGCTGGAAAGAAGCCAGGCGTGGTGACGCACACCTTTCATCCCAGCAGTCGGGAGGCAGAGGCAGGCGGAACTCTGTGAATTTGAGGCCAGCCTGGTCTACATAGTGAGTTCCAGGCCAGCTGGAGCTACAGGGAGACCCTGTCTCAAAAAGACTCCCTCCCCGCATCCCCCCCAAAAAAAGGAAAGCTGGAAAGATAGGATATAAGAGTAAGATAATCACTATTAGAATTCTGGGGCCTACAAGTTCCTTCTTAAAAGTAATGTGATATAATCATATAATTATGTATGGTGGTGCACATCTTTAATCTCACCACTGGTGGGGCAGAGGCAGGTGGATATCTAAGTTAGAGGCCAGCCTGGTCTATATAGGGAGTTTCAGGCCAGTCAGAGCTATATAGACTGTCTCAGAAAACAAACAAGAGTAACTAGATGAGGGAGAACAGATCGCTAGAGATGAAGTTAAGCAACATGAAAGCCAGAGAGCAAGAAAACTGCATGACCCTCACCCCACAAAAATCATTGGTGAATCAGAAGCATAACAAATTACATGATTATAGGAGGGGAAAAAAAAATAAGCAAACAATAGTATGAATGATCTGACAGGAGGAACAACACTATTTACCACTTAGCCCTACTAAACATGAAATATGAGAAGATTTTTAAGGAAAAGAACAGTAAAAATTGTGTATCAAAGAAAACAGATGCCCTGTGAAAGATATGTACTGAACAAACATGCTGAGCAAACAGCAAGAAGCATTCAGAGGAATCAGGTGAAGAGAGGGGAACAGAAGGAAAAAGGGCTCCAGGTTAGGCTCATAGTGTGGCCACTGAGAGAGGCAGAATAGCCAAAAAGATATACTGAGGGCCAGTTGTGGCAGTACACACCCCTAATCCCAGCACTCCAGAGGCAGACAAGGGAATCTCTGTGGGTTTGAGGCCAGCCTGATACAAATTCTAGGCCAGTTAGGGCTAGTATTAGTGAGACCTTGTCTCAAAAAAAGATACTGAGAAACAATTCAAGATGGTAATAATTCCATCCAAGATGGTACTATTAATCCTAGTACTTGGGAGGCAGAGGCAGGCAGATCTCTGTGAGATCAAAGCCAGCCTGGTCTACATAGTAAGTTTCAAGCCAGCTGGGGCTACAGGGAGACCTTGTCTCAACCTCTACCCCCTAAAAAAAACCCACATGGTATTCCATGGCCCACCCCTACTCTGACCACTACCACCATCCTTACAGATAGCAGGCGATAAATATAGCAAGTCTTCTTTTGACCATCACGCCAGACTCGGGCCATAGCTTGTTCATCATTGGCTGGGTTCCAGTCAGGATCAAACATGACCAGTCGGTTAGCACCAATGAGATTAAGGCCACAGCCTCCAGCTTTGCTACTCAGCATGAAGACAAAATCAGGGCTCTGGAAAGAAATTAAAAGGGGGTGAGGGTGAAGAATAATACTTAAAACCTAAACTGGCTTCAATACTCACACTCAGAATGTGAGGATAAGCTGGTCTGCCTAGCAATTTCCCAATCTACAAGTCACTTTCTAAGCCAATCATCACCAATCAGCCTTATCACACCACACGTACCAAAACATAAAAACAAAACTTAAAACAATGAAGCACAGTCCCCTTACGGCTTCTCTGTCAACACTTTATTCTGAAGTGGCTGCACTGCTGTGTTTACCGATGGACTATTGAAGCGCTCCACAACCTTGGCTCGCTTCTTAATGGACATCGTACCATCCAAGCGAACATACAAGTACCTGGAGGGAGATCCAAAAATCAAGACTCAAAAAGAAAGGGTTCCTTGGAGCTATGGCTACAGAAAGACCATACTTGAGGCTGCTCATGCATAGTCTGAGGCCCTCTCAAAGGAAAGGAGGGGTAAGGGACAGGACTTTGATCTGTGAGAGCACCTGAAGGACCAGGTGTGGAGCTAGGGCCATCACAGCCATAAGGGAAGAGACCTCTCAGAACAGTCCTTCATCATAGTAAACATGCAGTAATCAGAAAACCTAGTCTTCCTAGAGGAGCAGTGAGACATACTCCTTTGCCTGCCTGGTTAGGCTCTTCCCTACCTTCGAGCCCGGCAGAGTTTCTCGAAGAGATCCAACGTCTGGGTGTAATTAGACACCAGTACTACTTTGTCACTGCTGCAGCTTCGAGTCACAGCCAGGATATAATCAAGGACCAGCATCTTACCTGGGAAAAGCAGCAACCATCAGTCCTCATAATTGGCCATTCCAATGGCCCAGGATTATTATACTTAATATCTTGCCTTGAGATTGGATAGCTTCATCACAAAGAGATAATTTCCTACTGTCCTATGGTTCCTCCAAGGAGACCATCTACTGATGGAGAGGGCTCACCTGACAGCTGTGGCTCTACAGCTTTAGACGTATAACCAGGAGGGAAGATGTCCAAAGTGCCCTCAAAGCCATCCTCCTCTGCTACACACTTGTCATAGATTAGAGCTGGATCTGAAAGAAACACCCAAACAAACCAGACCAAAATGCTAGTGTCTTGCTGTCTGAAGTTTCCACTTCAGTGCTCATCAAAACACATCCTTCTAGATACCCGGCACATAAAGCCTCCCTTAGCACTAGACTCACTTGGTATCTATCCTCCCAAGTTCCCACAGGAAGTCCAGATGGACTGTATCACACTACTATGCTCTTCCAATAGAAAAGGAGCTATCACCAGAGGCAAATTTTGTTACTTTTCATCCTGCCTAACAACTGTACATGAACATGCAAGCATGTACATACACAGTGCTGGACACCTTAAGCATCAAGCAGACTGGGCAGAAGATAATGTTTCTGAAGCAAAGATGTAGTTTACAGAGTCCACATTGCAGGGGTTATGTCTTGTGGAGGGCTGGCCTCCATGGGGTCTCGAGACAGTTCAATGAGTGAAGGTCACCAGCCTACCCTCCCTTGACTCACACAGAAGACACTGGGCATGGGCCCAACTCACGGTTACAAAGCTTCTTTAGTGAGGTGATGGAAGAAAGGGAAGACACACTCATCTTGCCTTCATGCAACTCTTCTGCAGGCTTAGCCTGTCTCAGAAATCTCTTGTATAACTCAGTCTGAAGTGGTGTCAGCCTGAAAAGAGACAGCCCAGTGACTCAGTGGCTCAGCAGAAAAAGCTGAACCACACTTCTGCTCTGAGAACATCTTGCAATCCAGCCAACCTTCAGGGACTAAGCTTTTACCCATTCACTGCACACCCTTCAGTTGAGTTCAGTACCTACAACAAACCACGTGCTCAACCTTCACAGGCAGATATTTAGAGAGGATATCAGATGTCCTCCTTATCAGACACCTAGAGGAAACAAGAGAAAAGGCTAGTAAAACTGCTGTGCTACATACTAAAATAAAAGCTTCCATGTAAAGGACCAAGATTCATTCTCTTTTAGATAAAATGTCATCATTCCAATGGTTATACATATGGGAAACAAAGACCTTCCAAACAGCCTAGTTCAGACTGACAACTCATTTTCTTCCTTTCAACAGGCTGACTGGTCAAGAGAAAGCTGAGGTTTCTTTTTTACCATGTAGTTCTGTCAGGGAAAGCAGGAGTCAAACTATAACATCTTTCCTGGAGGCTTCTGTTATTTGCCCAGATGCTTGCTGCCCCCAGGGATATCAATTAAGCCCTTACCTCCTGGGCTGTCTAGGAAGGACAGGGAGGCATCTAAGTAACAGCTCCTAGTCAGGCATAGTAGCACATGCCTGCAATCCCACTGTTAGGAGATGGAAATAGGGATACATATGATACTATTAAAAAAAAAAAAAGGCAGCAACTCCTTGGAACACTGTGACTCTGCAACCTAAAATTGGTAGGAAGCAGGGATGGTTCAGTAGTTAAGACCATTGGCTGCTATTGCAGAGGACCCGGGTTCAGTCCCCTAAACCCACATGGCAACTAACAATCATTTGCAACTCCAGTTCCAGGGGATCTGATTGTCTTCTTCTGATCTCCATCAGCATTGCATGCACAGGTGCATTTACATACATGCAAGCAAAACATTCATATACATAAAATTAAAATAAAATTTAATAAAATAAAACTGATAGGAAGAGGTAGCAATCTAGAGGGGAAGGGCAGGACAATTCTCTAACATAACCATCAAGTGTGTACACCAACAACAGGAGTGCTGAATATGCCGGAGCCACACATAAATCCTTCAGCTTTCTAGCCAATCACAGAACTACATGGGGCCTAGACAAAGAAAACCTGATGCTTGAGCTAAGACCAACTGTCAAGAAGCTTCTGAAATACTAACAAAGGGATAGCTTGCTCAGGAATTTAACTGCAGCAGAGAAGAGCTTCTTTAGTAGGCTGATAAGCAGAAAAAAACCAGACCACAGGGTCAGCCAGAAGCAGGAACTTGGCCTACAAGAGTCCTTTATTTATTCAGTGACAAGTCAGGTCACAGATCCCACTCCTTCCCTCAAATACTAGGACTTAAGGCCTCCAGACAGACCAAGCCCACAGTGCTATCCTCAGATGGCTTGAGAACCAATTTCCTCAGTTGAGGTCATTACCTGCTCACAATGCTGATAAGCTCCTGCAGTCGTTCCTCCCCTAGCTGCCTATCTGTGTCACTGGCAGCTGCATCTCGACTCTTTAAAATTGGTAATTCAAAATGCTTCTTAAACTCATGAGCAGTTCCTAAACACAGGAGAATGGAAAATTAAAGCATGTATGGGTTGAATGATTTTCTCACTAATAATGACAGACTACCTTGTCACAAACCAACCTTCCCATTAAGAACAAAGCTGAACAGGCAAATTCTACTTAATGAATCAAGATATCAAGCAGTGAAAGTTTGAAAGGCTAACTAGTGAGATGGCAATTACCCAGTAAGTGAAAACACAGTAATTGCAAATGGACTAAAATTACAATTAAAAGATAAAGCTGCAAGCTGGGGATATATGGCTCAGATTCGCAAGCCTGGTGACTCTAATTCAATCCCCAGAACCCACAGAAAAAGCTAGATGCAGTGGCACTCATCTGTAATCCTAACACTTCTAGAGGAAATAGGAGGCAGTCAGGAGAAAGACAGAACTGCCTAGAAGCCTTAAATTTAGGCAGCTAGCCTATAGTTCACAGCACAGTAGCAGAAACAAGAGACCCTGCCTCAACAGGGTAGAAGGCAAAAAGCAACCTCTGAAAGGTGTTCTCTTGCCTCAACACAACATGCTACACATATGCCAGCACTCACTCATTTCTCTCTCATACACACAATTTTTAAAATAAAAAAAGATAAAAGAAGGGCTGGAGAACGGGCCCAGCAACTAAGAGCACCGGCTACTCTTGCAGAGGACCCAGGTTCACTTCCCAGAACCCACATGGTGGCTAACAACTGTCCTAACTCCAGTTTCAGGAGATCTGATGCCCTCTTCTTTTTCTTTCTTTCTCTTTCTTTCTTTCTTTCTTTCTTTCTTTCTTTCTTTCTTTCTCTCTCTTATTTATTTATTTAATTTATTTTTGTCTTTTTGAGACAGGGTCTCCCTGTAGCCCCAGCTGGCCTGGAACTCATTATGTAGACCAGGCTGGCCTGGAAGTCTCAAAGATCCACCTGCCTCTGCCTCCCAAGTGCTGGGATTAAAGGTGTGCACCACCATGCCCAG